ACTTCAAAATAGCTCTCAGGCGTGGCATGAGAAGACCGTTTTGAGATTGGATTGCTATTGGTACACAGCGAAGAAGGGTGTTTAATGATAAACTTGCAGGAACGGATATACTGCTCATCGTCGTCTGTTGAAGAAGTTTTCTGCCCATGTTCTCATGAAGAATTGAAAGCTTTTCTCATGGCTGTACATCCGCCACAGCTTCGACTCAATGGTACGATCGCTTTAAAATTGCTCACCTATGTAATTATATAACAATGTTATAGAGCAAAATATCGGGCCAGTGTTAATGTCTGCATGTAAGATGGAATCACCTGCTTTGTTGAAGAAATGCGCATTAATGCTGCTCGCCCAACAAACTCAGGTATTAGGGACACAGAATTTCCACACCAATTTCAGCTTTTCTTTTAGCTTTCTGTTTTTGTCCGTCTGTCTTTGTTGGATCGATGTTTCCTACACGAGATGGTACCACAATGTTTGCTTATGGTCCATCGACCAGAGCAACTTATTCAGATGACACAGCAAAGCACCTGTGAGTGGTCTACAATATCTACTGAATGTTGACTAGGCAATTTCACAAAGCTAATCAGATTTCTATCTTCTTATTTGGTCAATCCTCACTCTTAGAAAAAAATTTATGCCAACATACCGAACCCGAAAATAGTTTTTCAAGTTCCCCTTAGCTTCGAACACCGTCGCTCTCTCTCGCGAAATGGTTCTTCTTGAAAGAACAACCAAATTTTATGTGACTGAGATCAGATCAAGGAAACAACACTAGAAGATCAGCCCGAACGCATACAAGTTTAGATAGGATTTTGACAATTTCATGGTTCTCAAACCCAAAAGTTTGGATATTTATACCCTCTTACTCTTTGTCTGTAGTTTATGTAAACAAGTTATAGACAACATAGTGTTCCATAGAAGTAATCAAACTGTAACAGCAGATGAGATGATAGCGCTTGGAAGTGAAGATTTGTAGCTTTTGCCAATTTTGTTTTCAAGATGCCTTTTGCATCTTGTAATTCTATCCCCTATGGTTTTCCTTTAATACGTTCGGATTTGTATTTCCAACAACCTTAGCACTGTGTGAATCTACAGGAGAGGAAAGTCGCGAAGGCCAGTTTCCTCTGCAACAAATCTAGAAAGCTAAATTCACCTCTTAACGCAAGCTTTGTTTGAACATTCTGGTTCACAGGATTTACCTTTCGTAAGAAGCTGCGACTGATGCTCATGTATAGAACTGTCAGAGAATAGGAGAATACCAGGTCTATCCAAAATTTGAGTAAATTTATAAACTGTCAAAAATTTTGGAATTTACGATATAATTAGCGTAAAGTTATGACTGCCTGAGAGGCTTCCACCCTCTGGAACCTACAAAGGTCCAGAAATAGGTGTATCCAAACATTCAGGCCCTGTATTTCAATATCACTAGGTAACAGCCCATATAATCCTATTCATGTAGTCCCACTCTAACAAAGCGATAAAGCTCCGTCTTCTAGATGACTGCCTCTCAACAAGAGCTCGTGCCGCAATGCTCGACCGATTAGCCGTGCTTCTTGAAAATCCTGGCCTGCAACCGCATCACTGCGCAAGGTTTGCGTTTAGCATAAAACTTCTCTACGAATCAAATAAGATGTTCATGAGCCAATTTAAAGAAAATGGAGTTTATCATACAAATATCTACTTTCAAGGTGTAAAGTGCACTCTACCTGTGCATCAGTCACGTGGATGTGTCCGCAGTGCAAGACGTATTCAACAGATCCGAACTTACTGAGGCACCCAACTCAACCTCCTAACCGTTGATAGCGGTCAAGGCGTGCTA